CTGCTCTCTCCTGCTCCTGGCTGAGCACCCCAGCCTGATGATGATGGATGGGGGTGAGGAAGGCTCCCCCTGATGATGATGGATGGGGGTGAGGAAGGCTCCCCTGATGATGATGGATGGGGGTGAGGAAGGCTCCCCTGATGATGATGGATGGGGGTGAGGAAGGCTCCCCAAGGAGAGCCTTTGTGACCAGCTGAGCTCCAAACCCCTCGTGCCTTGCTGTGCTCAGCAGCTCTCGGTGTCACAGTCACACACGAGGGGCTGAGAGCAGCCCTGGGCTTTCACCCCTCTCAGAGGAGCTCTGTGCTGAGCCCAGCTCTGGGACAGGGGGCACAGATCTGGAGGGGGGGATTCCACCTCTCCCCCAGACAAAAAAGGATTTTGACAACTTGGCTTTTGGAGGCAGAAGAATGCCAGAGTGAATATATTTTCCTGGTAATTTCTTTGCACTTAGAACAGAGACTCCGTGCTTTCTGTGGAATCTGACTTTCTGTGCTGATTTATCTGATTTATGTTGAATCTGTATTTTGATGGCATTATTCTGTTGGGACGAATGATACAGAAGAGTGGCTGTGGCTAGTGCAGAGCAGCTGCTGTGGCTCCTGCTGGGCAGGGCGAGCTCTCCCCTGCCCCCCTTGCCCACTCCTTGGCCCTGGGAGCTGATTCCCAGTTTATCCTCTCAGAGTTTGTGCTTTCCTTCCTCTTTCACAGCTTTGGTGCTGCATCCTGTGTGGAGTTACACTCGCTGCCTCTTGTCAAATGTGCTGCAGATTTGCTGTGCCAGAATTAAACTGCTAAAGTTTGGAGATGGGGATGGCACCGAGCGTGGCAGAACAAATCCTGTCAGCTGCTGGAGCAGCTCCAGGGGATCACCAGGGGATGGGTTTGGGTGGGAGGGACCCCAAATCCCCCCCAGAGCCATCCCCACTGCAGGGACACCTCCCACTGTCCCCAGTGTCCAACCTGGCCTTGGGATCCAGGGGCAGCCACAGCAAATCTGGGAATTCCATCCCAACCAGGGAACAATTCCAGCTGAATTTCCCTCTGTGCCCATTGTCCTTGTCCCCTCAGCTCCTGCTGGAGCTCCCTGATGTCCCCCAGACCTGGGAGGGCTCCTCAGAACCTTCTGAGCCCAGGTGAGCCCCCCCAGCTCTCCCAGCCCATTTCCAAGGGGGATTTGCCCTTTTGGCTTCCCTGCTGTCTCTGGGGAGCTGCTCGTGGTGTTTTCCACCCCTGAACTCCCTGAGCTCTCTCTCAGAGCACTTAGGGCCACTTTGTCCCATGCAGGGACTGCAGAGCTCCATTATTGCAAGAATTAAAACCAAAACAATCTGATATAATAGTTGGCTTTTCTGCCTTCTGCTTAGAGACAAAACTTTTATTGCAACAAATGGAACTAAAATCAATATACATGGAAATGACTCGCATTTGGGGACCCTGGGTATTGTTGATTTAATACTATTTATTTAACAGCTTGGCAAATGTGTGGTTTGTCTGTCTCGATAGATTTTGAAGAAAATGATAATGTTTTATAGTAAACAGTATAAAAATTCAAGCAAAGGCATCTTAATCAGCTCCTATAAAAATTAAATGAGAGATTGAACATGTCACAAGCTCAAGTCTGTTTTATCATGCTGCTCATATTAATGCTGCAGCTTCTTTTGTGTTGGCCCCATTAATATTCATGAGGGCTTTAGTGCAGAAGTGCCTTTCTTCCCGGGGTTCCCTCCTTCCCTGTCTCCAGCCAAAATGCAAACCCTCTTCAGCCCCTTGGAAATAGCAGATTATCTTCAAAAAGCTGTTGAATGGAAGCACAAGTGACATCCTGTGACATCCTGAATGTCAGCACGACTGCAGCTGCAATAGATCACAAAAACTCTGATTTTTCCTTAAACTTGGGCCAAAACCTGGGGAAATCCATCCAGCAGGTGACAGTGGCCAAGACAGGCACCTGCCCTGCTCTGGGGACACCTTGGGTCTGGATTTGCTGTCGTTAGGACTTGGCTGGAGAGAAAAGGGATCCCCAGGGCTCCCTGGCAGGGCAGGAGCCTCCCCAGGGCAGGGCTGGGAATGGGCACTGGGGTGGCCACGAGCAGGGATTTGGGATTTAAGGTTTGAGGGAATAAATGAGGCTCTAAATCCAGTGCTCCTCAAGCTGGGAGCCCCCGTGGTGAAGTCCGTGAGTGGTGAAAGGGCCCTGATGGCATCTGCTGCTCTGAAAATCAAATTGTGCAGGATTGCCAGGAAGGAGGGTTTAATTCCTCTTGGTGACTGAGGAGGCAGCTCGAATCTTCCCATGGAGGGGCTGGCTTCTCACTGAACATCAAATAAGCCAGGATAATATCTTCTTTGATGTATTTATTTTACAAAAGCCAAAAAGGTGTACTGGAAGATCAAGTACCTGTCTTTGGAGAAATCCCTATCAAGGAGTTTGGAGATGAAGGTCTCTCTTGCTCCATGGCACTGGTAATGCAGTGAATGACAAATCATGAAGGAATAAATTTGCATTCATATTTATTGAAGGCAATCTTGAAATATCCCCAAGCAAGAGAGACTTGTGTTGTGCAAGAGAAATTAAGGTGACATTGATAATCAAAGCAGTGGCTCTGGGCTGGGAAGTGTCACTGCTGGGGGCAAACCTGGGAACTTTGGGGCACTTTCTGTCCAAAGCAGTGCCAGGAGAAAGGGGAATATTTTAACTGGGAAAAAATCCATCACAGTGAGGGTGGGCAGGGCTGGCACAGGTGCCCAGATTTGCTGTGGCTGCCCCTGGATCCCTGGCAGTGCCCAAGGCCAGGTTGGACACTGGGGTTGGACACTGGGGACACTGGGAGGTGTCCCTGCCATGGCAGGGGGCTCTGGGGGGGATTTGGGGTCCCTCCCAGCCCAGTCCTGGCTGTGGTTCCATGCAGGGGGCTGGAGCAGGGACAGGCTGTGACATCCCCTCCCTGGCTGGGGACAGGGTGTGACCTCCCTGCTGTCCTGTGGGATTTGTCCCAGCTGGGGAGACCCTTCCACTGCAGGGACAGGGGACACTGCTGGGACACTGCTGGGACAGGGAACACTGCTGGGACA